TGTGGTATATGTAGCCGCATTTCTAGCCCCATAATAGCTGATTGTGTTGACAACCACGACTTCCCCTGCGTTCATTTAAACACGTGCATGTGTGAAGGGACGGGGCGGGTAACGCGGCCGGCAGTAACGCCATTGGTTGCACTTGAAGTTATTAGTTATCTAATCCGACAGTAAACGGCATATTAAGAAGAATATTCTCAGAGTTTTGGTCTCTAAATAAAATCCCTAGTCCATGACAAGAAAGAGTACAAATACGGCTGATTCAAAGACAAGATCGAGACCTTCAAAAACTGGTCTTACTACAACATTTGATATTACTATAAATTTCTATCATGAAGAAATGAAGCAGTGGTGTAGTGGTAACAAGAAATTTAAGGTGGGTAAACTGTATGTACAGCAGTAAAAAACGGTGGGTAACTATTTATATCCTTAACATTAGTGATCTCAAAAAAGGTGAGTAAACGCTGTTTTGCAAATTTAAAAGGTGCGTAAATGTGCATTTACCCTCCACTACACCACTGAATGAAGGATTTGCGAAGTAATCTGAATAATTGCATAAAATGATCCAAAAACTCCACAACGTCACATAATACATCAGTGTCTCTCCAACCTAATTTCAGCTAATTATCGTTAAATTCTGGCAGAATTAAAACAAGACTCTGCTGTGTCTGCCTCCGCCATTTTTCAAAGGTTTTTTTCCCCCCAGTTTTTCCAGAATTCATCATGTAAACTACCGAAGGCACGCCATTGGTTCTCGTCACCTTTTTCTTTTATGGCGGTCGGCGTCCAGCTTAATGGTGCTTTACTGCCACCGCGGCTTTGGTTAGTTTACTGCTCCCAAATTAGGGGGTAGCCACTGTACTTATGTGTATAATAACATAGACCCAACTAATCGATTATTAAATTAGTTGCCAACTATTTTAATAATCGATTTTAATCAATTAGTTGTTGCAGCCCTAATCAGCAGTAATAGTGGAATTTAATTAATTTGTTTGGAGAAATTAGGCATTTTTCATGTGCTTCATCTTGCTCTCCATGAGAAAAAGACACCTGAGTTTATATACAGCTACAGTGGTACCTCAGTTCTCGAACTCATTAGAACTCAAATTTCTTAAAAGTCGAACCAACCAGTTCGAAAATTTTTTAGCTAGAACTCGATCTGAATCTCAGAAGTCAAACCGTGAACGCGTACAAGGATAACTTGTATGCGCGGGGAAATGAGTCACGCAGCACGTCTCTCAGCGGAAACAAAGGGTAACGCTTCAGTCTCAGCCTCCCATTCGGTGTGATAGCATCGTGCATGTTTACACTAGCTGAATACATATATTTAGACAGTGATAGACAGTAAATATAATTATTATATAACAAAATACATTTAAAAATAAAGATTTCTTATTAATTAATTTAATATTAATAATAAACCATTAATACATTTAATTATAATAATATTATCGTGCCGAGCGGGGACGGAATGGAGACAAAGGCGCAGACGTCAGGGTATCGGGGAATACGGGGTTTAATTACAGGTAAGGCAGGCAAAACACAGACGGACAATACAATGACCGACTGGGGAAACAAACTGAAACGTGGACTAAATACAGAGGACTAATGACAACAACCAGGAACAGCTGATCACACAGGGATTCCACATGGGGTTAACGAGGTGGCGTGGCACACGGAAGGAGCAGCCGATCGGGGCATGACACATTGTTTTTTTTAACTTTACACATTGTTTGGATACATTTATTTTCTTACTTTACAAATTACTGTTTTGATAAATACGCTTAGATGTGTCTAGTACAGTATATGCTCTTCTTGTTTTATCTGGTTCATTTTGTGTTTAAATGCAAAAAAAAAACATGTTTAGGTGTAATTTTTTGGGGGCTGGGAACCAATTAATTGGTTTTCCATTATTTCTCATGGGGAAAATTCGATCGCAACTCAAACTTTTTAGGATTCGATCCGGAGTTCTGAACGGATTAAATTCGAGTTTTGAGGTACCACTGTATGTGCAAGTTTTAGGCTCTGAGGACAGTTATTTCGGGTTAAGGGCCTTACCCAAGGGCCCACTCAGCCAACCATGGGATTCAAACCTATGAACTTGGATTCAACCACAGATCCCAAATCTGTTGAGCTGCTCATTGCCCTGATTATTATTATTATTATTATTACAATAATAATATGTAGCAAGTGACTCAATGGGTTAACATGCTGTGTGAGTGATTGAAAGGTCGCCAGTTCAAATCCCAGTGTCTTCAGAGTGATTTCACTGTTGGGTTCTTGAGCAAGTCCATTAATGCCCACTTGCTCCAGGGACTGTCTGACCCAGCTTTCTCAAAACAAAAACGTATGTCGCTTTTGATAAAAAAATATCTACAAAATAAAATGGATTTTTTTTCTATATGCATATTTTTTAAACTGAAGATAAACCCGGTTGAGGATGTAAGCAAAGAGCTGTAGTCAGAATGGATCATTTAAGCAGGTGTTATGTTTTCTTCACATATCATTAGACCACGTTCTGAAGCTCTATGTCTCTTCCGGAGTTCTCGACATTCTCTGTGATGACACATCACTACTGAGCGTTCTCTCCTGGGGAACAGAGTCGTGGTAGCCACTGTCAGGGAAATCTGTTCAGTTTCACGTAAACCGGGGGTCTCGCCAGTATTCTGCTTGTCTTTCGGATTGTCAATATTCTCCCCTTGGGGATATTGGCTCTGTTTTCATGAGGAATATTTGAAGCAAACAGGCCCAACGATATAGGATTTCAAGAAGGTTGTTTGTTTTTGCTGTACCTGCCCATAAGTTGGGAATAACTTATAAAAGCGTGTTTTATTTAACCTCTTTCTACTCGCATCTACAAAAATTATTCATGCTGATTACTATTTTGAATATAAGCCATAACCATAAAGTATACTATTGATGCTAGCTTGACTGTATTTGTCACAGTATTTTTTTTCTATTCATTAATTTTAGCTTTTTATGAGCAGTCAGTATGATTTAGACCGAGGCAGTCTGTAACAGCAGCCGAATCCCTCACTCCTGTCTGTCCTGCTTGCAGGTTTCTGACTCGAATGGCGAGTTCTTCTTGAAGTCCTCGGAATTGTTCGAAAGCCCCGTGTATTTGGAGGAGGTAGCGGATGTGCTGTGCATCTTACAAGCAGGTGAAGTGCTGAAGCACCGGATGATTCAGCTAATGGGTTTAATTTGTAAACGATGTGGCGAATTAGGTTCTGGCTGCTGCCCGTCCTCGGCGCTAACGCTGCCCACCCCCCTACAGAGTTGCCCTCCTTGCTGCCCATCGTGGAGGTCGCAGAGGCCCTGCTGCACGTCCGCAATGGCGACTGGTTCCTCTGTCTACTCGTGGCTAATGTCCCGGACAGCTTCAGTGAGGGTACATCTCTGCTGGGCGCCGCCTCGTTTGCTGCTCCTCCTCCTCTTTACTCTTTGATTGGTGCCTTTGCCGATAATACAATACAGAAGTGAAAACCATGTGTTTATATGAAGCTTTGTTTAGTTTGGTTGATTTCTAGTGGTAGGAAAAACAATATAGGTAGGTAGTTCAGATAATGGAATTTGTAGCTATCAAGCTAGCTGACTTGTATAGTGAGTTTATTCATTATTGACTGTAGAACAAGGATTGAATTTGTTTAATAATGAATGTGATTGGTGTAGTGACTGTTTGTGGCCAGCCTCGGGTGCCTCGTGCCAGTCTGTGATGTGAGTACTGGTAAACAGCAAACAGCACTAAAACAGCACTGCTCCGTGGGGCAGTCAGCTTGATGTGTTTTATGACGTGTCTGTTATTGGGCCGGCGGGGGGGGGGCAGTGTGTAGGGGGCTCATCAAGAACGGGGAACGGCAGGACGAGGAGAGCGCGGGCGGCCGGCGCCGCACGGAGGCACTGCGGCAGCTCTGCCAGATGAATCCCTCGCAGTCCCTCAACGTTCGTGCTATGGTGGTGAGCTGGCACCCTCGCAGCGCCAACGCTAATCGCCGGGAGTGACTGCCTCCTCTCAAAAGCCTTAATTTATATGTGCTGACCGGTCATTACAAGACACTGACCCAGGAACCTCTTTTATTAATATTCTTTAAGGAAATAGATTTTTTTCAAAAACAAACCTAATAAAGTGAAATATATTCCTTGTGTCATAATTAGTCTGACTAGAATGGTGGTAATTATTATCCTGCACAACCAAAATGTCATTAATCATATAAATTAACCAGGGGCTTTGAACCCATAACATGATTAATCAAATTAGCTTAATTATGGTTAAAGAAAACCTATTGGAAACACACGTTTAAATACATTGACAATTTCAACATATCTTAAGCAAAGCCTTGAAAATAATGATAGTGGGATTTATCCGAATTTAATTGGCTTGTTTGAGGTCTGTTGTTTACCAATTACAGCCTGGTTGTGTTCTGTGACCCCTCCCCAGGTGGAGGAGTGTCACCTCCCTGGCCTGGGCGTGGCCCTGACGCTGGACTTCAAGCCGGACTCGGCTGACGACGCCGTCAGCCCCCTGGTGTCCTTCGTCAGCGGCCTACTCCTGGGCACCAGCGGCAAAGTGCGCACCTGGTTCGGCATGTTCATCCGCAACGGACAGCAGGTGGGTGCTCTGCTCCCCCCCCCCCCCAGGGCCACCACGCCAAGACAGACAGATATGACGCTCATTTCTGTGTGTTAATTAGCGTGTGATTAACACCTGGAACACCAGGCGGGGCCACTTACCGCCTGAATAATTGCTCTGATTAAGAGGCATGGCGGCCCCCTCTGTGGCTGACCGGCAGCCGCTTGTCCAGTGGGAACTTCCTGACGGGTGGTGCTGTGACTCCGCCCCCTAGAGGAAGCGGGAGAGCAGCTCGGTGCTCTGGCAGATGCGCAGACAGCTGCTCCTGGAGCTGGTGGCCATCCTGCCGCGCTCCCGCAGCACGCGCCTGCCTGACGACGGTGACTCTGAGGGTGGTGGCAGCTCATCAGGGTACTCCGGCCTGCGGGAGGAGCATGTGGTGAAGGCCAGTGCCCTGCTGCGGCTGTACTGTGCCCTCATGGGCATCGCGGGCCTCAGGTAGGCGCCATTGTCGACTGTGGCCAACCTTTGCGTTTTGGGCCACTCCAACACTCCTGTCTGGTCTCGAGTGGGAGCGGCACGAAATTGATGATGTGGGTGTTTTGGTCTTCTGGGATGTCCAGCAGGGGGCGATGGTATGTCATTGGAATGAGCATGTGGCTAAAATGCTACATTAACCCTGAAACCGATATATGTCACAGCTAAAGAGCATTAGCGTAGTGCAGGGAGCCTTGAGCAATCACGAAATGCCATTAATCTATTGACAGTGATAAAGATTTAACTTAAAGTAAATTCTTATTATTGCAGGATGCTGCTGCAGTAAGTGCTTAACCAAAGGCGAGATTATGGGCAGTCTTTAGCGTTGTAATATTACTCTCTAACATGGTCTGTTTGCTGTGTAACATGGTCAGTCACAGTTCTGGTCAGTCAGTGGAGATGCTTTAATGTGGGTCTTGAGTTGGCTTTTGGCAGTAATGCAGTGAGAGAGTGTGTCTGTCAGCTCTGTTGTTTATAACAGTATTTCTCAACCTGTGGGTCCCAGAGTGCATCGCTAAAAAAATAATAGTCTGGGATCTGCGGCTAATCCATTTGGGAAGCCCTGACTTACAGAGTCTGTGTGTGGATGCGTGTCCCTGTGTGTCTCCATGACCCCCCAGGCCCACCGACGAGGAGGCCGAGCAGCTGCTACAGCTGATGACAAGCCGGCCCCCCGCCACGCCGGCTGGTGTGCGCTTCGTCTCACTCTCCTTCTGCATGCTGCTGGCCTTCCCCACCCTCGTCAGGTATGCGGGCTCCCGGGCCGCTCCGGGAACGAGGCTTCCGCTCCCTAAAAGCGCTCGGGCCCTTTGACCGCCCTGTGAAATGCCCCCCTCCATGTCAGTCAGTGACACTGTGGATGTCCTTGTCGCTTCGCTGTGACCTGACACCTCTTAATGCTCCTTAATCGCCCTCCTAGTGAAGAATGTTTAAGTGCCTTGGTATCTTGTTTCTGGAGCACCAGACCACTTGCGTGTGGCGCGGTGCGTCACTGAGAAGCACGGGCCGCGGGGGTCCCTGCCATAGTCATGTGATCGGCGGCGCTCGTGTCGCTCCCTGCAGCACGCCTGAGCAGGAGCAGCTGATGGTGATGTGGCTCAGCTGGATGATTAAGGAGGAGGAGTACTTCGAGAGGTGAGTCTGCATCTGTGGTGTGTGTGTG